TTTTAGACGAAAAATAAGAATATTATAAATTTTTGGAAAATGGGCGTAGCCACGCCCACTTATGGTTACATGTGTATATCTTGGTAACCCCTGCACCAATATCTTCCAAACTTGGCACAGTTTTTAGNCCTGCAAAAACACATCGATTTACGTCCTTTATCTCGCCTCCGACACAGAATTGTTTTCGTACAAAATTACGCAAAAAAGCTTACTCCTTCGTTTTTAGGCATGCTATTGTTACGAATTTCGAAAGTTCGAAATTACGATTCGGATTGCAGTTTACTATTTCTACGATTCGTAGCAAAATCCGAATACGAAAGAGTTGCAGAATAGGGGTGTATCTCTTATTGTCATCTTCTCAGTGTACTTAATATATGATTAACTCACCACCACCTTTCATAAGATTTATTAATGGCGAAACCAGCTTTTCATGTAAATCCTGTAAAACCTGCAAATCGTGAAGTTGGGTTGGGTTGAATCCAAACTTTCTAATAATGGTTTAAATTTAATTAAAGCTTTCAATCTTCTCACACGTATGAGTTGTCAAAAACCATTGTTTTGAACATGTAAACCTCAAGTAAATGTCAACTACACAAATTTACAAAAGTATTAAATGTGAAAATCAGTACAAAATCAGTACAAACTCAAAAAATCAGTAGATTTTGCGTACTGATTTCGGGCTCTTAAAAATCAGTACAATATAAAAAAATCAGCACATGTACTGATTAAATCAGCGCATCTGGCCACCCTACTCCCATATAACGGTTATTTTCAGAAATACGAAAACTGCGATATCTTAGTAACTACTGAAGATTATTCACTCAAAATTGATATTTACAATAATTTTTCGACGAAAAATAAGAATATTATAAATTTTTGGAAAATGGGCGTAGCCACGCCCACTTATGGTTACATGTGTATATCTTGGTAACCCCTGCACCAATATCTTCCAAACTTGGCACAGTTTTTAGCCCTGATACAGCATACCAAATGGCCGAAAATTTTTAAAATCGGACAATAGCCAGGCCACATCCCATATAACGGTAATTTGGAGAAATACGAAATCTTCGATAAATCAGTAAATGTTAAAGCTAATTTATTCAAAATTGATGCTTACAACAATTCTTTACCTAGAAATACCTTTATGATAAAATTTTAGAAAATGGAAATCTATATCGGTAACCGTTCTACCAATTTTTACCAAACTCGGTACGGTTATTGTGCTTGGCACATAGAAGCAAAACGTTGAAAATTATTGAAATCGGACTAAAATGGAGGCCGCTTTTCATATAACAGTAAATTTCAGANGACGAAAAATAAGAATATTATAAATTTTTGGAAAATGGGCGTAGCCACGCCCACTTATGGTTACATGTGTATATCTTGGTAACCCCTGCACCAATATCTTCCAAACTTGGCACAGTTTTTAGCCCTGATACAGCATACCAAATGGCCGAAAATTTTTAAAATCGGACAATAGCCAGGCCACATCCCATATAACGGTAATTTGGAGAAATACGAAATCTTCGATAAATCAGTAAATGTTAAAGCTAATTTATTCAAAATTGATGCTTACAACAATTCTTTACCTAGAAATACCTTTATGATAAAATTTTGG